TTCCTTTTTTCAGTAGACAAACAACAGATATTTAACATATTGCATACATCTTTATAATAACAATAAGTATATAAATTAACATTACACGTATATACTTTTAATGATATGTAAACAGACAAATACAAAATTTCTATATTTAATGTACAAAAGTGAATATAACATAAAATCTGCGCTATAAATTTATGGAATAAGAAATATAACACAATAGAAACAAAATATTACTTAAAAAATATATACCTTTATTGTATAATTATTAAACATAACCCATGGTAATTATAAAAATATGTATATTCGACATAAATATATATAGATAAACATAAATAATATAAAATAAAATAATTAATAAGCTAAATTGGTTCCAAGAAATATATATTATAGCTTAAAAATATTTCAATTTCTTCTTCCAATCCATTAGATTAACGTTTAAAATATTGCATATACAAAATTGGATATAATACAACCTATAAAATTATATTTCGTACACCTATATTGCAAAGATACTCTTACATTTTGAAAACGACTACTAATTTCAGTGTACATGAATTTTTAATTATTCAATCTCTGTAAGTATATAATAGTATTGAATATTTATTTAAACTATAATATATCACATTTAAACCTAACAATTATCTCATGCATATTATCCTAATAGAAAAAATATAAATATAGGAAACAAAAACTGATAATTCTAAAAACTTAAAATTTAAAACCTGAATCCTAAACTCTGAATGAATAACTCACTTTTCGTATATATACATATGTATTAAAATATAAAAGAACAAACATAATAAAAAACATAAAGCATTTTGTTAATATATTCAGAAAAAATGACTTACATTAGAATATACATATTTTTGGCAAAAATATAATATCTTCTGTTTTGTTCTAATTAAAACTCACTTAAATTGATATCTCCAAAAAGAATGTCGTGTTTTTTCATGCACACAATTAAAAAATATTGTATAAAATAATTAAATGTATATAAATATTTTTATAATTTTTTTTTACAAAAGAACTCAACTGTTATAAAATACAGTTCGTACTATAAAAGCATGATTTTTATACACAACATTATATGCAAACTAACACAATATTATATGCAAACTAACACAAATTTATATACAAACAAACACAAATTTATGTGCAAACTAGCACAAATTAATTAAAAATTCTATAATATATTTATATAATGTTATCGCTAACAAGGAAAAATGTATACATTTAAAATTATTTACTCAAAAAATAATCATATGAATATTGTTCTATGAATATCTGTAATATATTTATTAACATATGAATCTAATATACATTGAAGGAATAATTTGAGTGTAAAACAAAATAACTACTAATTAGATAGAAATATAATTACATAAATTTTAGTGATATACAAAAAAGATGTCCATATATAATATTTATAATAAATTAATAAATATTTAGTTCATAATAAAATATATATAACTTTGTATATTTTCATTATATCATCATTTAATAAGCACATCTTTGCAGAAACCACAATATTCCTTAAAATACATTTTTCCTTTCTAATTTTTCATATTTTACAATTTTTACAATTATATAAATAAAGAGTGCCAATATTATATATGATAATATTAAAATGAATGCAATGTAAATATAATAAACTTCAACGGGTATGCCTAAAGAATTCAAAATACTCAAATAAGGATCATTACCCTGAAGCCCCTTGTTGATAATATCCTTAGTGGTACTTTTTATCATATCTAACACAAGTAAAATTATTCCTAGAAAAGGAATTAGACATGCAGTAACTAAACCAAATCCGTATTTCAAATGTCTTGTATCCTTTAGATTTTTATTATTACATTTTCTTGATTTATCAATTTTACGAATTATATCGAATATTTTTTTTTCAAAAGAACATTCTAACTTCCCTAATCCTCTCCTATTAGCATATCTATATCTATAACTTCTCATGTATGTATTCAATCCATATAACAACTCCGTTTTTATTTTTTCATATGTTGGTGCTTCAACTTCTTCATTTTTTGTCTCTTTATTTTTTTCTCCTAATATTCTATGTTTCATGCTTTTCTGTACTTCATGTTTTGTCAATATTCTGTAATCTCGTATTCCACTTATTCCGTCAATATTATATGTGTTATCCAAGGTTACAAACTCTGAAGTCTGTAGAAAGTGTGTATATATTATGATTTAATGATGTAGAAAATAATAATATGTTCTATAATTATTTGCTAAATAGAATAATTATTGAAAAACAAAAATATTCATATAAATAAAATATTACAGCATCGTTTTTATAATGATATGTGAATAGCATAATTAAAAATATGGAAAATATATGAAAAGTATTGAACTTTCTTTTTCCCATCATGATAAATTTCTTTATTATGATTATTATTATTTAATTACTAATAAGAACAATCATTGTCTATAATTTATGTAATACATAATTATAGAAAATATTATAAATTATTTTATTAGAAAAGTAATTAAACATAAATATATTATATCATATTATATTTATATGTGAAACACAACTCTACATATATTCTATTCAGTATGTTTAATTAGTATTTCATAGAAAATTCAATTAAATACTAAATATATAATTATAAAAAACATATAAAGCTATTATTTATTTTAATTTTAGTGTCCTTTATAATGTAATAATTATAACATATAATATATAAAAAATATATATAAATTATACATCTGGGTTTATATATAATATCTAATTAATTTTATACATCTATAACAATAATCCTAGAAAAATCAGGCTTATATTTAGGAATATATAACAACTATATAATTATAAATTTATTATAATTATATATAGATTATATTTATATGTATAATATATAATATGTGATTTATTCACTAAATGCGAATTTTTAGTTGCACGACACATTAAAGAAATTTAAGCTGCAATAAATATATAAATCACGTAAATATTAATATTATTTAAGTGGAAATGGAAATATTATATATACGATTGTAACATATCATAATTCATTTTTCCATTACGTAGAAATATATTTTAATATTATCATGTAATGGATAAAAAATATATAAATATAATATATTATATCTTTTTGTTTAATTAAAACTGTATACTAATATTATAAAAGAATCATTTAAATGAATTCTTTGTTCATAATTTTTATTTTTACATAACTTAAGCTCCATATTTGACCTAATATGAATTAATTATAGATGTTAAAAAATACATCTATATATTATATATACAAAAGAATAAATATTATATGTTGCGTATTACAATATGCCTTTCATAAAAAGTGTGCATAGTATTGTATTTAATAATTTTTATAGAATTTAAACACATAAATATATATTGAAAATATGTTTTAAAAAATATATATACAATAAAAAACGCATATCAACAAATTGTATAATTCACATAAGCATAATATTAAAAATGATTCCTTTTACTTAATATTATTATATCATCTCTCATAAAAAATAATAATATAATAATTTTACATATTTTACACGAAATTATGAAAAAAAAAAATTATATTATTCTGAATACAAATACTTTAATATATATCTAAGGCATCTATATATACAGAAGTTTTCACATTTTCATAAATAAAATAATAATTGTTAATAACGAAAAATTATATAATTATAAATATATTATTATTTATTATTTAAATTCTGATTATTTTTTTTTTGTGAAATATATCATGTAGTATTCTGAAGAATTCATATTTTTTTTTCATGTTAAATGTAGTCATATTATTACTAATACTACAAAATATCCAACATATACATATATACAAAATTTTGTATAAAATAATTTATGAAAAAATGCGAATATAAATTATAAATATATAGATCCTATCATATAAAATATAATATGTCCTCTTTGGGTATTTTTTATCGTTCATTTATTTAATACATTCATTAATATTCATTTCAATACATTCACATAATTATTGTATGCATGTAATATATTACATAAAATATGAATTTTGAAATGTTATTATTGTCATAATTTTCTTAATATATACTTTTTATAAATAAACAAGCGTAATTAATGTATTCTTATTATTTTATTTAATAAATCAGAATGTTACTGATTTATTTGGTTTAAATTTAACAAAATCTACCTATATGCTCAAACAATTATTTTCTAAGCGTATATATTAAAAGATATATATACCCCAGTAAAATTAAAATTGAATACATTTTTTTATAATAATACAATGTTATCAATAGAATAAATGCTTTTATAATAAATTTATGATATCTTCTTTATATTCATCTTTAATATTTATATAATTACCATAAAAATGACATGATTCATTATATGAATTGCTAAATTATATGATTACGAATAATAATATTCATTAACATTAATTTAGTAATATATAGATATTTATTTACATATGAAATATTTTGCACTTTTATTTATGAAATTTATATTGTATTAACATAATATTGTGCATATATACAACAAAAATATTTGTCTTATATAATATTTAAGGAATGTTTTTATTGGATAAAATAAAATTTATTTCAAGATAATAATAATCATAAATCAAAATAATTAATAATCTAACACAAAATAATACTGCAATATGTAATATTAACATATAGAGAATTATCCATAAAATGTAAAGCGCTACATTAATATTATTTGGGTTACATATTTTGATGTATTTGATCTTAAAACATACATAATATGTATTAATTTATGATTTTCAGATAAATTTTAAATTTGTGTTTATATAATATAATTTATACTCATTCACCATTTCTTTAACATATACATTAGTATAATTTCACATAACATAGAATATAAAACAATTATAAAAATATGTATGTATACAATATTATATATCTTATTATATTATTATAGGTATTCTTTAATTAATATCCTAAAATTCAACAAGAAATCCATCAAGAGAATAAATTCAATAAACTGTTATTCATGTATAATGTTCTATATTTTATATAATTTTTTATCTTTGTAATGTATTTATAAATTTATAAATAATATAATGTTGTATATGATAGGACATATAAATAAATATATAAATGCTATTAACCTACCTAAAAACATTTTTATATAATAGACATTATTCAATGATATTTAATTAAATACATCTACATATTAATTTTTTGAACTTTCAAACATATATGGCTATATAAGTTAATATTCTTGAAACTATAATATGTAGTATATAGAAAACAGACTATTTAAATAAACACAACTGTGAAATACTATTTTGTAAATTCTATATTATAACCTTAATTAAAACCTTGATACTTATTCCTAGTAACTATTCTGTGTATTCGCATTAAACTATTTGTACGATGAAATAATAATGTATTCAAAAAGAACAAATGAATTCAAAGGAGCAATTATAAATAAGTATTCCAAATTTTTTAATATTTTTAAAATAATAATTTTAATATTCTACAATTATCCTGAAGACTTCCTTATTATATAGAAAATAATTAATTAGTTTTCAGCTTTAAAAACCAGTTCATAATTATAAATTTACGAAAAATAAAAACCTAAATGCAAATTATTAAATAGAATCATTTATATATTATTTTATATGAGTTTTATTATTACAAAATTTATGTTAGTTTCACTTGGTAAATATTCACAGTCACTAAATTTTATCTTCAATATACTTATAATTTGTATAACATTAATCTATTATATTATCTTATTTATTAGTATTATTTCCTTTATGGTCTCATTTTGTGTATATCTTATATTTATATAATATTCAGTTAATATATCATAGTATAATATTAGCTTCATCGAAGTATGAGTAGTTCAGATTATTTATTATTATATTAATTTATTCCTTAAAATTCATTTTGTTTATAAATTACATATTTTAACATATATATAATAATTAATTATATGATCTGTATATTATTTTATTTTTATCATGTTCTGGGTTCAGGGTTTATTGTTTATATTTCTATATTTGGTTTTTCTATTTGTGTTTATATTATGCGTGTTATATTATTTTTATATCGATAACTATATATTAGTATATTCATTTTCATTTTAATTTTTAGCCTTCTTTTTTTTATAATTAATGTTATCTATATGTTACTTACATATTTGTATCAATAGAAGCCATTATATTACGATTACATTATTCTGTATATATTATTTCTGTAATATAAACCTATATATTTAATTAATTTTATTTTCTTCATGAAATTAGCATTTTTTTTTCATTTGTATAATTAATTTCAGTTGTGCTTATCTTAGCGTATTATATTTTATGAAAGCGATTATTATTATCTTTTTATTTATAATGATTTTTAAAATATATAATCAGTTTATGTGCATAAATATGTATATACTATTTGTATTGGAATTTTTTTTCAATACAAACATTTTATGCTTCCTTATTTACCGTCCCTTTAATTGCATCAATATACACAAAAGATTTATCTATAGAATCTTTACCTATTTTATTCTCATTATCTTGCTCTAATTATTGATAAACTATATATTTTCTTCATTTCACTTGTACACATTTTTATTTATTTTATTAGTATATTATCTAATAATATTTAAATATTATTATATAAAAATTAACATTAATTAAGAAATTTCCAGTATTATTAATTATTAAAAAATATTTTTATACACATTCCCATCAAATAAGATTATTATTTACTTTAATATTGATTTTATTACAATAAAAATTAGAATTATTTATACATTTAATATTAGCCATATAATAGTTTCTTAATATGATTATATAAAAGAAAGGACATGTATCATATATCATTTAGTTGTTGGGATTCCAAGAAAAATAAATGAATTATTACATATACAGAATCTTCAAATATATTAGTTTGTTAAAGCATTATTTTCTTAACCCGGAGTTTTTTTTTTTGTAAATATTAAATGTTTTTAAAAAAGCGTAATTTTAAATATTTCAAATCATGGTGCTTAAAGGGGAAAAATGGAAAGAATTTGGTGTAATGTTAATGAATTAGAATATTTTTATATATTACATTCATTGAATTTTCCTCTGTTATCCAAAATATTTTAATTAATTATTTTAATTAGTATATTCAATTTTTTATTAATTTGTTATTTTTATTTAGGAATTAGCAGTATCATTTAGTGAAGAATTACCTTCAGAAATATTCTATAAAACTTTAGATGATTTATCGGATTTTAATAAGTAGACTCAATACTGTAGATACTTAAATTCTTTTAAAAATAAATCTGCTCTTATAAATGCTTGTGCAAGGATTTTAAAATATTTAAGTAGTAATGAAAACATAAAAAATGTTTTCAATGACTATGATATATGCCGACTTTTAAATTATTGGTTAGCCAATAAATTGAGTGTC